AGCCGTTCTATTGGGGCTGATATGGCCTCATACCCCGGGTTGTACCGCCTGAAGTAACTAGTCAAACCCAGGAACAATCTTACAGTGTGCAAGTCGTGCGGTCTTAGCACATTCATCACCGACTTGACTTTCTCAGGGTTGGCCAAGATGCCCGAAGGAGTGACGATGTGTCCCAAGAGCGCTACCTGGTCACGAGCCCACTTACACTTCCTTATCATGAGCTTGAATCCGGCAGATCGGAACAGTTCCAAGACTTGCTCTAGTCGTACCAGGTGAGTAGGAAAGTCATCGAGGTACACTAGACAAATCCTCAACTTAAGGTCGACAAGCACAGTCTCCATCAGTCGTTCGATTGCCGGGGCATCATTGCGCAGTCCAAAAGGCATCACGAGCCACTCGAAGAGGCCATATTTGCAAGTGAAGGCTGTCTTCTCCACACTCCCTGCTGCCATCGTGACTTTCCAGTAGCCGGACGCAATCTCCATCGTAGAGAACAGTTTCGCATTTCCTAGCACATCTAGAATATCGTCAATGAGGGGCATTGGGTAGCAGTCTTTGATAGTGACGGCATTCAGTCTTCAATAGTCGATGCAGAACCGTATTCCGCCATCAGGCTTGCGGATCATAAGCACAGGACTCGCCCATGGACTAGATGAGGGTCGTATAAGCTCTTGACTAAAGTGCTCTTGTATTTTGGACTCCATCACGTCTCCTTCCGTCTTGGACACTCGGTAAGGGGGTTGTTTTATAGGCTGATGGTCTCCAGTATCGATTGAAAACTCAGGTAGACTCGTACATCCGGGGCGCATCGAGGTCTCGACGAACATGTCCCTGAACGGTTGGATGGACTTCGTGAACAGTCCCTTTTGTTCGCTCCCCAGCTTGGACTTTTCCAATTCGACTTTGAGCTCTTCCTTGAGTACTCGATCCAGTCCGGGTATGGACTCCTTAGCATCTTCGGCAGTAGTCCTTGAGGCGCTAATGACAGAGTGTACCCATTGGTCTTGTGCTTCCCGGTTCATTGGCTGTGTCTTGCCCGATTGCGCAGCCTCGCGTTTAATGCCCGTAGTATTTCCTAGTTGAGACACTGTCTCGGGGATCACTGTAATACTCGCCAATCTAGTACTACTCTTGATGACGGCGTCCTCGATGGAGGGGTTGCACACTTCCACGATAACTTGGTCGTTATACACTGTGCACAGAGTTCTAGCGACTTTAATGGAGTCATCCAATTCGGCAAGTCCATCTACTAGGACGGTGGCCCCGTCAACCAGTTGACCTTGAACCTCAGCGACCACGAGAGCTTGTCCATCAGGGCGGATTCGAACAGTAGACGCGATACGTGACAGGTAAGATTCCTCCACTCGAGAAGATCCTAGGGGAACCCCCCCGTGTCTTTTAGCGTAACAGTGTTCTCATCCAAGTCTACCACGACTCTGATGTCCTTGAGTGCGTTGGTGCCTAGGATGGCGTCGACGGGCAGCTTATGTACGACGGCAAGCGGTAGTTGACCAGGGAAGAATCCCGGGTCATCGCTAGTTTCTCTTCTGGGATGTCGAGTAGGACACTCAATTCGGCAATAGGTAACTCATTCGACTGCTCCGCGTTTTCGACTAACCGGCGCTTTAGTTCTATCTCATCAAGAGGGAACAGTCGGTCTTCGAGTTCTCTGTCATATTCTTCCTTCTCTTCGGCCAGCTCAGATGGTCCTCCGTCTTCCAAAGCGTCCAGTTCTTCCTCGGAGAACACCCTCGCGAATGCAGGCCCCTTCCCGGGTTTATCCGTTGCAGGACTAGGAAAGGCGACGTCCTCAGAATGTCCTCCGGCGAAGTCGTTCCTTTCGGGAGGGGTCACGTCTTCCTCACTTCCTCGTGGTTCTACCCTCGAGACTGGGACACTCGCTTCCGTAGTTCCACACTCTTCTCGGGGCGGGCTTTCGAGTACCTCTGTCACGTCTAGGGGTAAATTATTTTGTAGCAGGTGGTCTTTGGACTCACCCTTCTCCTCATCTAGCTCTAGTACACTCAAAACCACACTCCCATTGTTCCTGGGCTACGAAGAAGTATCCAAGGCGTATCGACTTTATGACATCGAGGCGGGGCAGGTGATTATCAGTCGCGATGTCAACTTCGATGAATCGACCTTTGGACTTTCAGAACCTATTTCCGATGAAGATGTCGACGACCTGGACTTCGACTCTCTCGACATCGACAATGACGGTTCGCGCCAGACAGAGCACAGGCAGGCGGGGAAGCGCAAGAGCCGCCCGAGTGACGAAGATGAATCTGCCACAAGAACGCGAACTACGCGTTATCGACCCGGATTGGAAGAAGCAAGTGCGCCGACCAATTCATCTTCGCATCGAGCAGACGCAAACGAAGAAGAAAAAGCTGGAGATCAAGATGAAGAATCGACTCCCCCCGTATTTTGGCGTGCAAGTGCGAACGCAGTCGAAGCTGCGGTAGATCTATCGGAGCCGGCGACTTTTCAAGAAGCAGTGAACGGCCCGACCAAATGCACTAGCGCAAAGCAATTCGTGCTGAGCTCAAGTCGATGCGACTTCGAGGAGTGTTCCGTGCTGCTAAGCTGTCAAACGGCCAACGCGCCATTGGTACCAAGTGGGTGTTTAAGATCAAGTGCAAAGCGGACGGATCGATCGAGAAGTACAAGGCACGCCTCGTGGCCAAGGGCTTTAAGCAAAAGTACGGCATCGACTACACTGAGACGTTCTCTCCGGTTGTCAAGTACGTGACGTTGCGCATGGTGATCGCTTTGGCCAAGTACTTTGGCTGGCCGCTAGACCAACTAGACGTGGTGACGGCATTCCTGTACGGCGTGATGAGGGAGATCGTGTTTTGCGTGGTTCCCGAAGGTGTCGAGCTCGACGGTGACTTCGATTGCCTGGAATTGGTAAAGGCTATTTACGGTCTAAAACAAGCTTCGCGCGTGTGGAACGAGACCTTCGACGAGTTCGTATGCTCTATCGGCTTTCAAGTTTCAGCCTTTGACCCGTGCCTGTACATCAAAGTTGTTGATGGCCACTGTGTACTCATACTGGTCTACGTCGACGATGTCCTGGTCATCGGAAGCTCACCCGAGCTGATCTTACGCACGAAGGGCGACCTCAAGAAACGTTTCGAAATGACTGACAGCGGCAAGTGTGTGTTCGTCCTTGGGATCGAATTGGTAGACGGTCCTGATGGCAGTGTGACGATGAGCCAACGGCGTTATGTGGATGACATCCTGAAGCGTTTTGGTATGGACGAGTGCAAGCCTGTGGTGAGTCCGGTGGATATAAGCACTCGACTAGTTCCAAGCGACGGTGCGACCAAGGTACAAGCTCCGTTCCGCGAAGCTGTTGGTGCACTAATGCACCTGATGACCGCGACGCGTCCAGATATTGCGTACGCGGTGGGCTATGTGTCGCGCTTCATGGAGAATCCCCAAGAAGAACACTGGGTTGCGGTCAAGCGCATCTTTCGCTACCTGCAAGGCACCAAGACGCATGGAATCTGCTACAAGCCGGGTAACAACATCGACTTTCGCGGATACTCTGACGCAGACTGGGCTGGTGACCTCGCGGACCGCAAGTCGACTTCCGGCTGTTCATGCTGATGGGTGCGCCAGTGAGCTGGGGCAGCAAGAAGCAGTCAAGTGTTTCGCTATCTACGAGCGAAGCGGAGTACATCGCGCTCAGTCTGGCAATTCAAGAAGGCAAGTGGATTCATCGCCTGCTGTGCGAGATCTTAGCAGCTGCCAATGAGACTGGACCCGATCTCAAGATCCAAGAGGACAACCAGTCGTGCATCAAGATGACGAAGAACCTTGTGAACCACGGCCGCGCCAAGCACATCGACATCAAGTACCACCACATCCGCGATGAAGTCAAGCGTGGTGAAGTCAAGCTCGAGTATTGCGAGACTTCTGTGATGCTGGCTGACATCATGACGAAGGCGCCCCCAGGGCCTCGTCACATGGACCTAGCAGCTGCTCTCGGCATCCACGCGTGTTCGCATTGAGGGGGCGTATTGAGGGTTGCTGGTCTTGGTACTGTGTACCAGCTGTACCCATTAACCGGTCAACCTGAACCGGTCCAATACGATCCCGCTGTGATTATGGTACGTTTTTTTTTATGCCACCCATGATTGGACGAGTAGGATGATTGGACGAGTAGGATGATTGGATGACCTAGGTAGTGAGGACAGTGTAAGCCCCGATAAATCAATCACTTTCGAATCTTCCTTCTTCCGCTTAAGTGCCTTCACTCCGGTCTCCGCACCAAGTGCAGAAGTCACTCCGTGCAGCCCCAAGCTTCGTTCCAACACCTCTACACCGTTAGCAATTTTGATTCGATTCTAATCAAATTTTTGCAAAAAACACACGATTATTCTCTTCTATTTGAAGTATTTTACGTGCTGATTGGCTGTGAGTGACAACCTCCAGCGTAAAAAGAAAAACAATTAGGATGGGAGCAGTCGATTTGGTACATGGAGTCGCATTTATACACATAAGTAGTGCACAAGCTGGCACTCATGGTGGCAATCCTCGATATTGGCACTTTACTTATTAATAGGAGCCTTGGCCCCAACGAGTATCAAGTGGTTTTAAAAAGTGCCTCAATTAGCAATGTAAAGTGCGCATTCCGGCATTTCATTCTTCTGCCCCCAACGCGCAAAATCAATGACTATTTGTGATCTTAACGTTTGTATTGCCATCTTATTTTTTGTAAGAAAATACAGTGACCGGAAATCTGCACCTTTACTTTGATATTTGTATGAGGTTTTAAATGGTATGCTTCAGACGGATACGCGTAAGCCATTTCCGGATCAAAACTATAAAATCGTGAGGGGAGGGCTTTGCTCATCACAAAAGGTCAAAAATTCCAGGTGTCATTTCTAGGTAGAGCTACAACAGAAGGTATTTGTGTAGAATTTCCTATGGTTGCCAGCAGCCAGCCAATTGCTTTTGGCCCACAATCGCATTGCCTTAACTTTTGCAACATGGTCAAGAAGAAAGTGGACGCGCGCGTGCGAACGCTGCTGGAGAACTGCATACAGGAGAATTTCCGCTCCTTCGTGGTACTTGTGGGCGACCATGGCAAGGACCAGGTTATGAACTTGCACTATATACTGTCTAAGGCAGCCGTCAAGGCCCGCCCACGCGTGCTGTGGTGCTACAAGAAGGAACTGGGCTTTTCCACGCACCGTCAGAAACGCATGCGCCAGATCAAGAAGCAGCAGCAACGTGGACTGTACGACCCCAACAAGGACGACCCGTTCGAGCTATTCATTGCCTCCACAGACATTCGCTGGTGCTACTACAAGGAGACACATAAAGTGCTGGGTAGCACTTACGGCATGTGCGTGCTGCAGGACTTTGAGGCTGTCACCCCGAACATCATGGCGCGCACTATTGAGACCGTTGAGGGTGGTGGTGTCGTTGTGCTGCTACTACGCACCATGGACAGTCTCAAGCAGCTATACACCATGAGCATGGACGTTCATGCGCGCTTCCGCACCGAATCACACCAGGACGTGGTTGCGCGCTTCAATGAACGCTTCATTCTATCCCTGGCCTCGTGCGAGCGTTGCGTTGTTCTCGATGACGAGCTCAACGTCCTGCCCATCTCCAAACACACGCGGAAAATTGAGCCACTCCCACCGCGTGACTCGGCCGCTGAGCTCACCAAGGATGAGCTCGAGCTGCAGGAGCTCAAAACGTCTCTGCGCGAGACCCAACCTGTTGGCGCTCTCGTGGAGCAGGCGCGCACGCTGGACCAGGCCAAGGCTATTCTTACCTTCGTGGAGGCAGTTTCGGAGAAGACGCTGCGCTCCACGGTGGCGCTGACTGCTGGGCGTGGACGTGGTAAGTCCGCAGCTTTAGGTATGTCACTGGCGGGTGCAGTAGCTTACGGATACAGCAACATCTTCGTGACGGCTCCATCTCCTGAAAACCTGAAGACCGTCTTTGAATTTGTGTTTAAGGGATTCGATGCGCTCAAGTACAAGGAACACTTGGACTACGAAATCGTGCAAAGTACCAACCCAGAGTTCAACCACGCTGTGGTGCGTGTTAACATTTTCCGCGAGCATCGTCAGACCATTCAGTACATCCAGCCTACGCACCACGAGAAGCTTGCTCAAGCAGAGCTTGTGGCTATTGATGAAGCTGCAGCTATTCCGCTCCCTGTCGTCAAAAATCTTCTTGGTCCGTACCTCGTGTTCATGTCGTCCACCATTAATGGTTACGAAGGTACTGGACGCTCACTGTCGCTGAAGCTTCTGCAGAAACTGCGCGAGCAACAGGGTAGTGCTGGAGAGGCCGCAGCACGCGCTGCTGCGAGCATTCACGGCGACCAGAAGCGTCGCAAGGGTGAACAGAAGCTGCACGAAGAGCGCTGGCAAGCTGCTAGCAACGCTGCTCACGCTGCTGCTGCTGGAAGCGCATCTACTTCCGCACGTGTACTTCGTGAGGTGGCTCTGGAGACCCCTATTCGTTACGCTCCGAATGACCCGGTGGAGCGCTGGCTGAACGCTTTGCTGTGTCTGGATGCGACGAACGCATCACACCGCCTGGTGGCAGGCACGCCGCACCCGCGTGACTGTGAGCTGTACTACGTAAACCGTGACTCTTTGTTTTCCTACCACAAGCTGTCGGAGAGCTTCTTGCAGCGTATTATGGCTCTGTATGTGTCGTCGCACTACAAGAACCAACCAAATGACTTGCAATTGCTGTCCGATGCCCCGGCTCACCACGTGTTCGCTCTACTTGGCCCCGGTGCGGAGGCTCAAGGTAATGCTGGTCAACTTCCTGACGTTCTCTGTGTCGTCCAGGTAGCTCTGGAGGGTGAGATCTCCAAAGCGTCGGTGAAGGCTCAGCTTGCGCGTGGCCAACGTGCTTCGGGAGACCTTATTCCTTGGACAGTGGCGCAGCAGTTCCAGGACTCGGAATTTGCAGCTCTCTCAGGTGCGCGTGTGGTGCGAATTGCCACTCACCCTGATGTGACTGGCATGGGCTACGGTTCTCGCGCTATTGAATTGCTTACAAAGTACTACCAGGGTGAAATCACTAGTGATGTTGCTGATGGCGAGTCTGACGAGAAGGAGAACGAAGACAAACTGGATGATGAGGACGAAGGCGAGGACGAACAGAAGTCGAAGCTTCGCAAAGAAAAGATCAAACCGCGCAAGACGTTACCACCTCTCCTACTGCCGCTGGACGAGCGACCGTGCGAGCGCCTGCATTGGTTCGGTACGTCATTCGGTCTGACGTTGCCTTTGCACAGCTTCTGGTCTCGCGCCAAGTTCCGGTCGGTATACATCCGACAAACTGCTAACGAACTCACGGGCGAGCACACGACCATCATGCTGCGATCTCTGCGTTGCGACGATCTCCCTGCTGCTCCTTCTGATGGATGGATGGACGAGTTCGTGGCCGACTCGCGTCGCCGATTCACTTCGTTGCTCAGCTACGACTTCTCCAAGTTCCCGTGCGCGCTTGCTTTAGGTTTGCTGAGTGACGAATCGACTGGGTCGAACCCTGGTTCAAACGAGGAGGAGAAGCTGATCACTCTGCACCGCAGCGCTACCGGTGAGATCAGCCCGGTTGAACTGGCGATGGTGTTGACTCCGTACGATGCCAAGCGTCTTAAGTCCTACGCGAAGAATATGGTCGATTACCACATGATCGTGGACTTAATTCCATCATTGGCGCGCTTGTACTTCCTCCAGCGTCTCCCGCAGATGTCGCTGTCGTATTTGCAGCGTGCGATCCTCGTGAGTCTGGGACTGCAGCACCAGTCGGTGGACATCATTCAACAAGAGCTGAACGTGCCGTCCAACCAGCTTCTGGCGTTGTTTAATAAGGCCGTCCGGAAGTTCCTCGGACAGATTGAGCAACTCATGGAGAAGCAACTGAAAGAGGAAACTGTGAACACGAAAAAGCTGGCTGAGGTGGCAGCGCAGACGCAAGCAATGGCCCCAACGGAGACGTCGCTGGATGAAGAGATGCGCGAGGGCGCCAAGAAAGAGAAGGCCAAGCAGCAACAGAAGCTTCTGGACGGCCTCAACCTAATGAAATATGCTGTGCGTGGTGACGACGCCGACTGGGACGCGGCGCTCGCACAGGCTGAGAACGGCGGCTCCGTTGTGCAACTGAGGAGCAAGAAGCAGAATAAGTCCAAGAAGGAGTCGAAGGACCCGAAGGACTCGAAGAAGGAACACAAGCACAACAAGCGTGCGCCCGACGGGGACGGCGGCCCTAAGAAGATCAAGAAGAGCAAGAAGAGCAAATACGCCAACCTTAGCTAAATAGTTCGGCCCGTCGCCCAGTAAATGAGCAGTGACACGCTGCTTGTGTCGCACCGCCTGAATATATATAGATGCACCAAAACGTTATGCACATGCCGTAGCTACCCATCTCATAGTAGAGCTGTTCGAAAGTTACTCTGCTCCCTACAACTGTACCATGGATGCTTATTCGTCGGGGTGCTTATATCCATAGGAGTGTTTCAGGCTCGATCCACGTCGGTCGTGGTACGTGCCTGTCGACAGATCCCAGTCGGGGTCGGCCCCTGCGTCACGCGACCCACTATTTGCGTAGGCCCCACGTCGGATCTGTGACGCATTAAGTGGCTTCTCCTGAGCGGTTAGATTCGCCCCCTTTCTCGAGCAGCAAGAAAAATAGTGAGTGTCAATGTTCACTCAAGAAACGGAACCTGCACTGCACACACCTTGGTATAGTGTGCGACAAACGGGATGGAGAAGAAGCCGGCGGCAACCACGAGGGAGAGCCCGAAGACAATGCCATTGCCGCCCTTCGCCTTCAACGCGCGCTTCCTAGCCTCCGCTCCAACCGACATCGTTGGGGGAAAAAAATGAGGGTCGCGGCACCCGTTGGCAATATGTTGTACCCAAAATGTTTTTTGTTTCGCGATACAAGTGCGCATTTTTCGCCTTTAAAGACATTTTGCAAAAGAAGGTGTAAGCTACCCGCTTTACATATGTTTTCAAAATCTACAGCCCATCATGATTTGGCCCATGGCTGACCATGTTTGTAATTTAAAATATTTTCCCGTTTTAAAATACAGGCGGGAAAGCCAGTCATTTGTCTGACACGCGTCATGAGAAGGCGAACCGCTCGCCAATGCTGCCCCGCGCGTCCTGGCAAGACCCCGAGACCCCCGCCAACCGACAGCTGCCTCTCTGCCCCCCCCCCACGTCTGCCCGCAGGTACGCAGAATCTCTTATGCTCCATCATCTTCATTGACGCGCACAGGACGCAAACTAACTCTTCCTGCTGCTGATCATGTAGTGTTGGACTGTAGAGGCGTCTCATCCGCCCCAGAACCTGATATCAGGCCCCTAATTGTCTCTGTGTTCGCTTTAAAGGCTCCGAAGTAGAGAAACCTCGAAGAGGTGCGAATATGTTTTTTGATTGGATATGGATGCAGCTTTTGCTGATGAAATGCCTGCGGCTCGCCCAGAATCGCTCACACGCGCAATACACCACCGTGAAGCAGCTGAGAAGCACGACCAGAGCTCTCTATGAAACGGTATGACACATCTAGTACGATGTTACCATGCGATGCATGTTCGACAACTAATTCTTTAACTAACTCTTTGTGTACTACTGTCACTTAGTAACCACTGCATTACTGTCACTTGGTACTCGCTGGAGTTTCTGTTCAGGTATCTTTGATCCATGACCTTCGTGGCGATGATAGATAGTCAGGATAAAGAGGTCCTCCATGTTTGTTCCATGTTTCTCCCATGTATTGATGTTACACAGCATCATGGTTCGGACAAAGAATACCGCCAGCATCTTAAGAGCCGTGGACATGGAAGTATCGCCAAGTAGCAGTAGCGATGCTACAAACTGCTCGATGACGCTGAGCTGCAAGTCTCTTCTAGGAGTATGATGATGACTGAGGCTGTGCTTGATGGCGTACCAAATGCTCAAAACACGGTGATATTGCGGGGCCAACCCGAGACGTTGGTGATGATAAGGCTGACAACAATTCAAAGGATAATAGCGACGAGAATAGCGACGCTGCTGACAGTGGCGATCTTCAATCCAGCGACAATGATGATAGTAGTGAACCAGATCCGAAAAAAAGGAGGGCAGCGAAACTACTTCGTCTACGTCTCGCAGCAGCCGAAAGCGTGCGATCACCGATTGTGACGAAGAGTTGTATTATGTGCCTGCCCTACAGAAGTATCATAGGACATGGAAAAGTATGGATCGGTACCTGAAAACGTATCAGCGGGATACTTTGACGATGATAGCAATCTCTGAGACTCAGAATGTCAGACTACGCAACCAACGATGAATACATACACATTGCGCGTTTCACTATACCATACTAAGTAGTTCTGGATCATGCAAGATAAGAGGGGGGAACTGACCGACACCCCAGCTAATCTCTCACTCGTCAAATTATATATCGTCCTGGAAACATGATTTAACCGTGTTTATTAAATGCAAATACATGGACATCATTATGACACGTGGTAGGCAGTATGAGGGTCCGACAGGCGAAAATCGCGTTCAGTCTTCAATTATTGCGAACATGTTTTGGCCGTGACCCAACATGGGGAATACATGCTCAAAATAAAATACCTGACTCCGTATTATATTTCGGGGGAATCATGGAGAAATCATAATAACCATGGGCAAAATCCATGATTACTGTCCCCTAGCCCTAATGAAAAACATGGGCTGTAGCTTTGGGCTCTCACTTAGCGAGCTTTGTTTTTATCAATAGACTGCAATCAGAAAAGGGCTAGGCGTACTCAATGGCCTTTTCTCGTTTATTATTTGAATAGCTCGGTAGTTTACTGTGCCACGTCCACAACATTACCTGGTTTTCATGACATAAAACGTGAAAGTATCCTCTTGGTTTTATCTTCTACGTGGGTTGCTGATCTCTGTTCTTATCTTATGAACAACCGCAGGCGATTTATGTGGGGTCTTCAGCACCGCACGCTTAGCATACTCAAATCGACTCTAGTGCATTACTGATCGTCACGTAGACCATAAAATACATACTTTTGATATCGTCATGGGCACAAGCTTCCAAGACTAGGAGGATAATATGCATTAACAAATTGCGCTGCAGTTTGAGCAGGAGGGTCTTAGGATAACATGGGCTACATAGCTCGGCGTATGGCGAAAACGAAGCGCTCTGGGCGAGAGCTTCAACTTCGCTTGGCTATCCTCAAGCGAACCTACGGTAACACAACTATCAACTCCCCCGTTGTTTCTTTGGCGGTATCAGGCAGCAGCCCATTCATGAACGTTCAGTCTTACCGAGACGAAGCCGGACTGATACTTCGGCTGTAAGACCACCCACCGCGTTAGTAGCACCTCCATCGAGCCCAACAAGTCGAACGGTGTCTGCCCAGCATTTAGTACCACCTCGAAGGTCCGCAGATCTTACGACTGGTGTACAAGGGTCAACTACCACTAGGGCCGCGTTACCGACAAGACACGGCTATAGAGAAACCCAATCTAGGCTACTCGAGCTACCTGACTACAGGGAAGTGATTACGGCTTTGTTCGAGATGTGAGCGCCCTTGCTGTACGCTAACGTGCTGGTGAAATTATGGAAATGCTGGCGAGCTGCTGCCGGTAGGAATCACTGGTCTTATTGACGTCATGGGGCCAGTGAGTGGACGCGATGTTTTCATCGACATTGGGGCCGGTATCGGCAATGTGGTAGCTCGAGTCGCGCTAACAGCCACTATCAGATCCTGTATTGGGATTGAGGTGCGAGCCGACTGTGTGTACTCGGCGAGGAACGAATTCGAAGGTTTGCGAAGCGATACTCTCTTCTTGGAAAATTGAGCATGATCGCAGCGGACGTTTAGAAAGCTGCACTGTCTTGTAAGTTGCCGATGCGATGCTACTCTCATATTTGCAAATAACTTCTTGTTCGACGAGCCGGCAAAGCTGGTAATGGCATGAGAGTTGTGCAATATGTGAAGGGCTCGAGTTGATGCTGTGAGTTGCAATTTCTGTCCCAAGGCATCGGTCCACGTGCAAGCAGCCTTTCTGTCAAATATGGGAGTTCGTAAGCACGCTTGCGTTTCCCTGTAGCTGGAAGGCAACATCTCATTATATTTTCACATACAAGCGTAAATAAACGTCGTCTATTCACCAGATATCTATTGAATCAGATACTATAGCACCACAATACAGACTCCGGTTACGGACAAGTCAACCGCGTTCAGTGCCACCACGTGTTGCCTCGTTCAAGACCATTACCAGTGCCATGTTTTTCGTCTTGGCCAGTGCGGCCATGGGTCCCACCACGCCCAGTACTTTCTGGACCTATATAATAAAACAAAGAGCCATACAGATCCGTCAGTAACACGCTATAATAAGTCGCAACCAACGCAGCACTCACCTTGAGCAACCAGCGCTCCACTCATCGCGTCGCTGACGCCACGATCAGTATTGTGGTGTAGTGATTTCTCCGTAGTTGCGGATTATCACCCGTCGACAAAGACGTGACACCGCCCAAGATGCTCAAGCGACGAACCCTCGGTCAGGTGATGTACGGAGACGCCAAGATGCAAGGGACTCGACGGCGTCACTTCCGAACTCTCAACGGATATTGGATACGGTCCAGATGTTACTGAATCAGGGCTGTCCTTATTATTAATAATGGACTGGCCGGATTCGCATTCAGCGGACCATCTACGGTACGAACCCTCGGTAGCGGTTGGGATGAGTTCGCGAAAGACTCAGCGACCCTTTGGAGGCACGTTCACCGTCTGGGACAGGGCGCGGACCGTTAAAGATACTCATGCGACGGTGCAGACGACGCTTGGCATGCAAGAAGATCCATAACGGATCATTGTTCACTTGATATTTGTAAACTTGATTAGGACTTCTTATTAGGAATAGACCCGAAAGGGTAAGCTTAAATACAGAACAGAATTTCCACTCGAGCACACAGAGCGACGTCCGGCTTCAAGGTAAGCGTCAGGTCAAGCTTGTTTGAGTGTGTTATGCCTGTCGGTGAACTCGAAGCTCTGTAGCGAGGGTTCATCCGGCAAGGCCAAGAGACTTTGTGTATTGGCCGATTATTATCGGGAGGTTTTTACGTGACGGCTTATTGTTGCCTATTTGCACGACTGGGAGTGCTTGAATTGCATCCCTTGTATTCTTCCAACCGAGTATTGAACACTCGGTGCCCTCGTAAAAGGCTTACCCGTGCCTGGTACCCTTCCGCTGTTGGGACCACGAGGATTCAAAACACCTGCTAGCTTTGCTCGTGCTAGTAGCGTGTTCCTATTTTTACTGGTTGGCCTATATAAGAAGTTTACAAGGTCCAGTTTGTCCCGGTGCAAGGGCAGAACTGGGGTCTTCAGGTCCGCTTGAACGATCGTTTACTATCCTAGTAGACGTATTGTTGTGGGAACGTCCTAACTACATTTGTAGCTAGAGCTCACGTGGGAATCCCAACACCACAACTGGTGCCGCGACCCGGGATAAGATTGTGACCATTGTGAACTGTTTGTATGGCCTTCCAGTTTACGAGCTACCAAGAGAAGAAGAAGAAGAAAACGAAAACAAGAAACATGGCGAAAGGACAACCGACGGTACCAGTTACGCCTGCCAAGTCTGGCGGGGCTCGCAACGAGAGTTCAAGCCCGGCTGCCGCTTTGCAGCCACCACCGAGCTTACGGTGAGCTTTGACGACGAGGCAGACATCGGTCCTGACGCCCACGATTATGAAGATTACGAAGACAAGACGCCGGCTCCAGAGCCAGGCGCAGCGACGCCGGAGACGGCCACGCTATCATCGGGGCTGAGCGGGGCGACCAGGTCCCTTTCGAGAAACCTCGCCGACGAGCTCGATGATGTTGCGGGACCGGAACCTGCCTATGCAGATTATGA